GTTCAGATTAGATCACGATGAACGGTCCAGATTAGATCGCGATGAACGGTACATATTCACTCCCTATTTAATCGCGATTGGACAGTCCAAATCAAACGCGATGGACGATCCAGATTAAATGAGAACATATATATATAACCCCCTTCACACCAAACCTTAACTCTAGCTGTTAGCCACCCTCGTTGGAGAAGAAGACCCAACTGCTGGGAAAGAGAGCCGCTGCCACCTATCCCCGCGCCGGAGCTACTTCCGACCGTTAAAAAAGGTAAAAAAAATTTCTTTTACTCAGAATTCAATTTAAAAAACCCCCATGGCAAAATTGGAGCAAAATGACCGTCCAATTGGTCGAAAACTGTGGGCAAAGCCCGGCGGCACCACCATAGGGAATTTCACAAAATGCTTCCGATGAGGTCCTTCTCGATTCTTGTTCGGCATAATTTTTTTACCGTTGTGATCACCATCTCCTTCTCTACAGGTTGACTGAAGTAAAACACCCAACCACAATGTGAGTCGGAGGAGCCGCCGCACCAGAAAGCCCCGTCACAGGTGAATTTTAGTTTTTTGTATTTTTTTGGCTAACCGAGATCGTTTAACGTATTTTCTCACATAAATCGATGCAAAATCGGCCGAATTCGGCCGAAAATAGCCGACCTAAGACAAGCCGCTGCCGCAGGCAGCGGTGCCATCGCTAGAGCACGGCGGAGCTACCGTGCCAGAATTTCGAAATTGGCCAAAATTGGACCCTGAGGCTGATTTTGGATTTTTTGGAATATTTGTAGGTACTTATAGTGCGTTTTAATTCCCGAAGAAAAATTCAAATAACCTGGGTACCGCCTGTAGGCGCAGTCAATAGTTTAGCCTTTCGGGTATCAAATTGAGGAAAAATCCCTTACCTTATCATCTATTATGGAGTTGAAGTTTAAATTTTAATAATATGGTATTTTGTAAAACTTAGAAAATATCTATAATTAATTACGGGTTACTAATGGAGGCAGAATCGAAAATTGTTCTCTGTTGATTTCTGTTGATTTGTTTTTCAGTTAATTGCATGATAGTATTTCATTGATCGATTTTATGGTTTGAATGCATATATTGCGCCTTACGTGGCTATTATTAAATTAAAAAATCGAGATATGATTGCGTTCCGTGATACATGTTTGTTTGTTTATGTGATTACGGTTGATTTGATGAATGGAGACTAAGAGAAAACGGAAAAATTATATGATTAAGTGAATGGATGAAACGACAGCCTTACTGGATATCCTGAGAGATGGTGGATGGACCGGGTTCAATAGAGAACCCTACCGTGAACGTTGTCTCATACTAGACGGGGTATCGAGACTTGGTAATTTGGTGCTCATACCGGACGGGGTATGGGGATGACCGGTTTCACTCTCATACCGAACGGAGTATTGAGGTTTAGTAATTTAGTGCTCATATCGGACAGGGTATGAGGACGGCCTTTTAATTGAGAATGTTGAAGGAAAGGGTTTACGCATAGCGGAGACATCCTTATGAATTCCTATGGGTACCAGTAGGCCGATAAAAAGAAATGTTGTTGTTTGATTTATTGAATATAAATTTATAATGTGTGCATGTTACCAATTGCATATGGAATCATGATATGTATAATATTACTGTCTCTATAGGTTGCTTTTGTAAATTTCACTACGGTAAGTAGATGGTAAATAGTTTTATTATTAAGAAATGTATTTATTTAATTTAGTGCTCTATTAGTTGTTTTGATTTTCTACTAACCTTTATTTCTGTGTCGGTGAGTAGTGTGATATTTTTATTGAGATAGTGTAACTCATTCTTTATTTAACCATTTTATATCAAGAGGACCAGGATCCAAAGTCCGATCTACAAGAGGGTTGCGAGTAGGATACCAGTTTTATTTATTTTCCCTTTATTTTCTTATTTTTTTATATTTCATTTAAAAGGTTAATTCCTGTAACACTATTTAGAACCTTAAGTTTATGTGTAAGGAATGTAAACCTTAACTATTTATTTCACTTCCGCACTTAAGTTATAATTTATTTTTTTGGATATTATGGGGTCGTTAGAGTTGGTATCAAAGCCGTGTTTCTCGGACCCATTCCTTACACAAAACCCTTAGAAAACATAAAAAATAATAAATCATTACTCAACCATTCCTTGTGAAATGCAGATACATATAGATGAGGAGAGGAAGATCCCCACTAAACCAAGCAGCCCGGGAGGGTTCGCTTAGAGAGGATGTTGACCGGTTATTTGAGATGGTGGAGAGACCCATTACTACCCAATAGGCTTGAGAGGAAAGGAAGGAGCTACTTGACCCTCCCCCGTTGCCACAGGTTGAGCCACCCTTGCAGCGGGAGGATCCTGAGCCACCCCAATATGACACTGCTCCTCTCCATTACCACCCGGCACCACCGCAATATGATCCGGTGCCCCAGCCACTGCATCACTCGACACCACCACGGTACAATCTAGTGCCTCTAGTATCACTACAGGGCCATCCAATCCATCCTTAGCCTAGCCCAGTCCCTCATCCACGGGACCCAACTCCTCTCATGATGGACCCAAGCTACATAGAAAGGTATAAAAGACTAAATCCTTCTACTTTTACAGGGGGATCTTCCTTTGAAGAGGCCGAGTTCTAGTTGTCTGAGACAGAGAAGATCTTCAAGACCCTCGGGGTGATCCCCGAACAAAAGGTCATCCTTGCTACCTACATGCTGGTGGAAGAAGCAGACTGCTGATGGCAACTCAAGCAGACCACCCTACCATTTCCAGTCACTTGAGAACAGTTCTTAACGGCCCTTCATGCAGAGTACCTCCTAGAGTATCTCTGACATCTGAAAGAGATAGAGTTTGCACACTTAGTCCAGGGGGACATGACTGTATCAAAATATGCTCGCAAGTCTTAGAATTGATGGAGGAAGACTAGAAGGTTCGAGTGGGGTCTCCGTCTTGAGATCAGACAACAGTTGTTTGTGCTCGAGCTCAATACCTATTCGGCTATTTTAAACAAGGCACAATTAGTGGAGAGGAACCTTCGCACTTTCTCTCAAGTAGCAGGGAACCTCAGGTC